ATATTTCGTTAGATTTTTTATATTAATATTTGAATAAAATTATTATTGTAAATAGGTGATCAACACAAACCGACTATACTTGAGTATGTGAAATCATTTATTTATTTATTTTTGATTTTTTTAAGCTGAAAATTTATATTTAATTCGTTCAAATCATTTTTCAGATATTTTTTTGAGAATAATATACATTATGATATTTTAAGTATTTTGGAAGAAACTAATAGTTCAAATGTAACAAAACAAATATTACAAACTATGAATATTTTATTTGAAAATATCCATGATCTAACATCACTATGTAAGTTTTTTTTAATATGGTGTATAATTGTCAAAGAAAAGCGCGTTCACACTCGGTTATTTTATTAAATAGACTTCTTATTGTCTAATAATTATGTCAATCGAATAATATGTCACAAATTTGATTTTTCGAATGATGAAATCATGGCGTACTATATTTATTTATTACGAACGTTATCTTTTAAATTGGATACCAACACGTTATTTTTCTTTTTTAATGAGGTACGAATGAGATATTAGAATCTTTGATTCATTATAATTCAGAATTTTCATATTTATCATGCTATTTCTATTTATTAATTAAAATAGCGTCAGGATGATTTTCCCCTGTAAGTCACTACACATATATACTGTATATAAGAATTTTTTGATTAGCAACTTACTTAAGTATTGTTTAGATATTCGGAAGCGATTAAGTTCTTTAATTCGGATGAGAGTATGATTCGAGTAGCTGTTCGGTCAGTGACATTAAATATATTTGGTGGTGAGACTTTTTACTTATGATTTGATTTATGATCGTAAATTATTGCGTAAATCACGTGACCAATATTTTATTTACATAGTTAATAATGAACAAATGCAAGAATTCATTCTGGACAGAAACGCATCTCCATATTTCTCAAACTTGGTTAACTTTATTTCCAACTTCTCGACAATTTTGGACGATATAAGCAATTCGCCCAAGTAGGTCTGATTTCTATTAATTTGGACATTCTAGTTTTATATCATTAATTCAAACTTCTACGTTTTTTTAATAGCTACCACAATCAATATCAGAGATTTAATTATTACCTCGCAGAGCATTGCGATAATTTTTATTATATTAACGATATCATAAATTTGGATAATGAAAAAATGAATCAAGAGTTAACTTCGCACTTGATGGATCTTTTATTGAAACCCGTCTATGCAGATAGTTTGGTTCACAGAAAATTGTTACCGTATAAGCAGGTATTTACCCGCATTTATTTTAGTAGATGTCGTCGCTTCCATTGTCTTGCTTCAACAAAATCAATTATATAATTCATTGTAGTCAACGCGTATAGATTCGGTGGTGGCCCTTGCACTTCTATGTCACGTTCTTCACATATTTCGTCATCCACCATTAGTCACAGCGATGGTTGCCATGCTTTTTTCTAATTCACCAGAGTTAATGGATTATCCACAGTCTCCTAGGCTTGACACCACATATGCAAATCCATCTTCATTATTTCGAAATAGGAATCTTTATCGAGAGGCTATAATGGGGTTCTTGATTCCCGAGGAAGCAGATTCAGATGAAAAAGCACATTATTATGATTTGAACACCTTGCCGGCTCTTTGTTTAATATACATGTCATGTAGGAATCATGCGATTGCACCAGATATACTTTTGGCTACAGAAGTATATTCTCAAAAGTTATTAAAAACTCGGCGTTTGTTGGTAAATAATTACGTATACCTTTGAGAATCATTATTATATTTCGAAATTGAGTGTATATATATTTATTTCTTTTTTTAGGACCCATTAATGTCTGAAATCGAGGATCTATCGAATGACACACCCTTTTCTTTAAGTCACAGAGTTTCATTTGATACAGCATCAATGACATCGACAGCAACTACTGCCTCACAGAGTAGGCCGCTGTTTACGGACGATTTAGATGGTGATTTGTTAAACGCACCAACAAATTCCAAGGCTGATCAATTATTTGTGGATGATATGTATAAAAACCTATACGAATCATCTCTTGCTCCTTCCATAAAAGTAACCGGAGAAAATAATTATAGTTACCAACTTCAAACAAAAAATTATCGTGCCGAGCTAGTTCAAAACATCATAACGCTTTTGTGCGTTCATTATCGATTATGTAGACCGATTACACTTCAGGTAACATAAACTAGGTTAGATAATGTTGTAAATGGGACTGTGTTTTTTTTTCGTGAATTAAAGTAACTTATTTATTAATAATAGATGGCTGCAGAGGTGTTACTTGAGCTCTTATATTATAATGGTTCGGGAGAGTGCTTAACGCTAGAGCAAACAGAAATGATGAACGTGAGATATTATTTTCAAAAATCTTTGTTATTATTCAAATTTAAATAGTTTTGATTTTAGACGGAAAAATCTTATTTTTATACTTTTAGATGACTGAAAAGTTATTACAAGAACGGGCGAAAAACTATTTCTTGAAAAATCACGAATTTCAGTTGGAAAAATTCGAAAAAGCAGTTAATGAATCAATGTGTATGTAAAAAAAAAAATTTTTTTTTTTAAAATTTTATTCATTTTACTAATTTTTTTGAAAATATAATAATAGTTGGAGGGGATAAGTATGTTGGAGAAATTATAATGAATTCGAAATTATTATTTCCACCACCATCTCCGATTTCACAATCGATATCGATAGATCCCGAGGGTAATTTAACCGTTTGTTTTTTTTTAAAAAAAAGTTTATTAAAATGAATAGTTCTCTTTTATCGAATCGATTACATCATTTATTTTGTAGATGACGATATTATTAGAGATATCAAGACACTTCACCTTCTTCGTCAATCTCGTATTCTGTTATCAAGAAAATCGATATTGGAGGAACCAACTTTTGAGGAAGAAGGGTATATAGAAGAAAATAAGTATAAAGCGGAATTGGTTTATCATAATGGATTAGTTGATGAAAGTTTTGATCAAGCTCGTCAACAAATGTATTCTACAACTACGAAAAAAGATAATAAAATTCATCAAAGAAATGATACAAAAGATTCGACTTCATCTTGGGTTAGTGTAGGTGAAGTTGAGAAAAGAAAGAAAACGGTGTTGGAAAAACTTGGTATATTATTATAGTCAAAAGATGATTTTTTTTTAATTTTATTTATTGACTTTTCAATTATTTTAATCATATAACAATCATATTAAAGAACGATAAAAAAAAGTAAGGGAGTGTTTAACATTAATTACGTAATCCTTTAAGATTCTAAGAAAAATTTGTATATTTTAATTGTTCCATGTGACTTGGTTTATCCAATCGGTACTAAAGATTTTCTTTAGTGACGTTAAATCATGTAATTTGAAGATCGTGTCATTTTCTGGAAGTGACTGAATTGAAAATGATTTTTTATAAAATTACTATAATTGTGCCTTAACTTTTAATTTATATTTGTTTAATTTCTTCATATTTGTTTAATTTTTTTAAAAAAAAATCAAAAATAAAATAAATTTTGATTTGTAATGGGAGTTAATTATGTGGCGAGTCGAGTCTCACGAAGATATGAAAAAAAACCAAGCAAAAAAAATATTTGATAATAGATAAATAATGATTACAGGAAAGCGAAGAATCAGAAATATTTGGAAAGAGTTTTTTTTTATTTTTTTTAGTTGTGATTCCATTATTGGTGCAAAGGGGATGTAAAAACCATATCAATTTTGTTTCCTTTACGCCTATATTGATTTCAGATCTGATATTGTACAATACAATAGTCCGTTTCCCAATTAGGTATGTTTATAAAAAGTGTAATTGAAGAATAGAATTAAATAATATTTAATTTCGGGTTTCCCGATAAAGTTTATATACTACTGGAAACCATAGTTTTTTATTTATAAAGTATCTTTTTTTATTATTGTATATTAATTTACACACACGTTTAGCCAGCCTATGTCAAAATTTTGATTTGACATTCCTTTTCTGTTGTAGATGTGAATGTTGATGTTACAATTCAAGTCATATGCAAAATCATCTACAATCATTTTAAACGTTAAAGGAATTCCGTTCTTTTATGGAAGTATGTTTTGTAATTATAACTACGGTAACACGAGAAATTCTTCAATTAACGGAATAAATTCCAGAAAATTTTGGTTTGGCTTCAAAAGCTAAATGAAATTTTTTATTTTTATTTTTATTTCTACTTTTATTTTTATTTTTATTTTATTTTATTTCTTTTTTTGGATAAAAAAAATATTTATGACTTCTATTCGCAATGATATTGTTAATGATGCATATTATTATGTACGTGTAATACAGGATGATAAAGATGACATCGACATAGACCAACAATATGAAAATAAACGAAACTCAATTCGTTCTGATAAGAATCTTACGGAAGAAGAAAAGTCAGTAGTAATAAACAGACTAGATGAGGCTCTTGATCGTAATAAAGTTCGTGACAGTATCGGAATAAAAAGAAATTGTAAAAACTGCAAGAAAGAATGTTTTGCAATATTATATTGTGAACATTGTATGCGAAATCATTTAGAAGCAAATTTTACAAATTGGACATCCGGAAATGAAGAAATTGATGATTTAATACAGAAATGTCAAATGGAACTAACAAGTCCTTATAAAATAAATGAATGGATTCCTTACAATAAATTACAAAAGATTAAACTTTTAACTAAAGGCGACCGCTCTGAAATTAATGAAGCAGATTGGATTGATGGATGTTACAAATGGGTTTCTAAAAAACAAAAATTAGAAAGAATTGGAACACACAAAGTAATACTTAAATGGCTAAATGGTACTTCTAATAGAAGTTGGTTTGAAGAAGTATGTAATTCAAAAAGTAATTATAAGATTTTTTTTTTTTAAAAAAAAGTAACGATTTTAATTCTATTCTAACTTTATAAGGCTAAGTATCATTTAACATTGAGCAATAAGTATAATGCTATTAATCAATCTTTTGGTCTTACTCAAGAACCATCAAGTAAGAATTATTGGCTTGTAATGAAATCAATGGATATGGATTTAAAAAAATATATAAAAGAAAATCATAATCAAATTACATGGAAACAAAAAAACTATATGGTTTGTAAAATAATTAAAGCAATTTGTAAACTTCATAAAGAAAATATTTTTCATAAAGATTTACATTCCGGAAACGTATTGTATTTGGAAGAATTTAGTGGTTGGTACATTAGTGATTTAGAATTTTGTGATCCTGCTAATAAACCATCAGGAAGTATATATGGAAATCTTCCTTATGTAGCACCCGAAGTTATACTTGGAAAAGGATATACTTTTGCATCAGATATTTATAGTATCGGTATGCTTATGTGGGAAATTTCATCTGGACAACCGCTCATCGATTTATAAACACGTGACACCGTGTTTAAAAACACCCTATATAAACTTAGAAATATTCTTATTTATAATATAAAAATTGATTGTCTTCGCTCTGGAAGAGAGCGTGGGTTAGAAAAATAATAAAAAAAAGATTTCTATAAATAATAAATAATTGACAAGTATTAAAACAAAAAAAAAATGACAAATTTCGTATCCGTCGTCCACATATTTAAAATAAATATCGTGTTTGTCACTTTTATTCCAAAACATTTTCAATTTGGTATGTATCAGTATTTTTTTTGAAAATATGATTACTAAATTAAATTATTCTTTAGGAGAGTTATAAAATTTTCATAATATAAACCAATAAGACATGCGTATACATTTATCATTAACTTCCATCCTTGTCATACATCGACAACTGTACCTTCTTTTACTACAATTGTCGCTCCTTCTGTACCTCAGCCTCCTGCTCCCGTTTCCACTACGCATCTGCGTTGCCATTGATTATGATATTTACCCCTCCCCCTTCGTTTTTAGCTGTCCACTCTCCTTCTTCTTTATCGTCTTGGCATACAACTACTGTACTGTTTAATATAATAAATTAAAATTTTAAAAAAAGATTTTAAAAAGAAAAATCATTCTCTTAAAAAGGTTTGGGCGTAAAAATTGATGCGATAGTAAGCATTTTAATTTAACAAGAACCATGTTTATATTTATTTTATGACCTTATAATTTCGTAATTATTTCACCTCAAATGAGTCTTTGTGACTCAATTTTTTAAACATGGACGTAACTTGCCACCTTTATGCGGTATGTAGGTTACTTTTTTCTGGCTAAGGCAAGCAATTACAAAAAAAAATATTTTGTTAATTTCAAAAATTAATAAATTACCGTTACTATAACATATATATTTAATAAAAGAATTTATCGGGCATTTACTATTTGATGATTTTTGTCAGTACAACTTGTTACTAAGCATTTATTATATTATTACGCATTA